GCCCTATCTTACCAAGCTAATGTAGTCGCTCTACCAGATTGAGAAATCGGGTGCAGGTTATCTGGAGTCTGCTCTAGATAAGAGGCAACCGCTGCCCAGAATGAATGAAATAACGAGAGGGTATTCTTCGCAAGCGCTTCCTCGCTGCTGACTTCCGCTGATTGTACCACCTTGCCATAGTAGCCATACGGGCTCAGTCGGTCATAGATCCAAACCACAGTTCCTATGATCACTGATGAGCTGATGATGGCAATCCACAAAGTCTTCTCAAAAGGATCTAAAAATCCCCAGGTATTCACCTTGTTTTCCATGTCTGTTTTCTTCATAACTATCTTGAATCCCAGACTGTAGTAAGGTTGTGTAAAGTCCACCGCTTTTTCGCGTTCAGGGCTGATGATTATAGTGGACACGGCCAGTTGAGCTTTCTGTGGAGAGTAAATGGTCAGTTGGTAAAGAGACATCGCAGAATTTTCACCATTAAAGCAACATAGAAGCTTTATATAGGGTACGTAGATGTGTACAATTTGCACTCTTCAGCCAAGAGGCCCATCCAGCTGGAACTTATCCCAGTTTGTGTAACGTAGCGAATATGTCTTGCTCTCACCCCCTGGATGGGATGCAGTTCATAACACGTTACCTCTCCCACCCCTCCTCCCCTAGCATTCTTTCAGGACTGACTCCTTGAAAGTGCACTAGTTCCTATTTACACTCCCGGATGTAGAGCGGCACTATGACGGTGATCCGCGACATCATTTATGATCTTGTATTAAACTGACGCACGGCAAAATGGAATATTTTAGTTATTTAGAAAAGCGTTGTATTTGAGTAGTTTCCTGAAAGCTTGCTGAGGTCGGTAAATGCATCGCCGCTATAAACGATTACACACTCTTACACATTTCACCTTTCTTGTCAGCTCCCCAATAATTCCACTCCAAGTACCATCACTCTGCTGGTCACCAAAGTTATCTCTCAGTTCCAGATGATATTCAAATTGTAATTTCTTCTTCAGCTCGTCTAATAAGTCAATACAGAATCCCTCGTATTCTACATCTGAATTACTGTTCGTGGAATTTTCTTTTTTCATGACGAACGGCGGACTCTGAAAAGAACATTTAAATTGAATAGCATCAACGTTTGTTTTACAGCTCCGTTAAGCCCAGTTTCCATGTAATCGTTATCATCTCTTTCAAAATAATATATATCGTGACGATTTGTACGATTACTTGGATTTGGGACAATCAGATAGGATCCTCTTCTATCCAGAAG